CGAGAACCTAGACGCACGTGTGTGTGTCCGAGTGGAAGTAGGTCAAGTCTCTATAGGTCAGCGCGTCTGTAAGCGCTGACTAAGGTATTGGATGACCTAGAGGCAGCTGGCCTTGAACTACGACGCTGGACAAAGCAATGAAGGGCGTCGGCCGGCAGCGACCACTACACACCCAATTATGAAAAATTCGCGGCCTCGGTGGGAGTCAGTGAGAGCAAATATGCCAAACCCCCCTAACAACTAACTCAGCCTAGTAATCATGCTGGTGGGTTCTAGATGAATGCTTAGGAAATCCTGTCTGGGCAGTCAGCTTGCTGTTCCGTAATGGTGGATTCCATGCGAGCAGCCATTTTGGGGGATAAAACCGATCCAAGTGTGATTAAATTCACGACTCATGGTGAGCCTCGTAGCTCAATGGTAGAGCGTAGGCAGAGCAAAAGCCTTACCTACTGTGTGAGTTCGACTCCCACTGAGGCCGCGAATTTTTCACAATTGGGTCAACTGAAAAGGTGACTTGTTTCGAAAGGATAATAAATCAATGAAGGCACAAATCGTACGCAATTTTCAAAACCACAATGCTCTCGTTAGAGATGACGCAGGCACCTACAAAACGGTTATTTTATATGCATTCACCCTACTAAAATTTGATTGAATCAATGTATGCACCAAACATTATCGCAAGCGGTACACAAAATTTTTTCCGAGTGCTATTGAGACCGAAGGCCAAAATGATATCCAGTCGGTTTTGGGGCATCGCATAAACAGCGTTTTCCTTACGAAACATGAAGGTCAAGTTGCAAGAGGTTTGACATTAACTGCGCCCGTAAGGAAGGCGGTAGCTTAGCCGACTACCAAAAATGCGTTTATTCTGTTTTTGTCAGCTGTCAAATCAAAAACCTGCCTGAAATTAATGTGAGACACCCGAACTGAAAGCTGCCATTGTTTTTGCATGGAAATCCTTTATTTGAGCCATCTCAAAGTTCTACTGGTTATCAAATCATTTTTGAAAGGCTTCAGGGATGTTTTGTTTTTCACCTCGTGTTAGCCATTAAAGGCCGCACGATTTGAGCAATTTTTTTGCTCAAAAGCCTTCCCTGCCGTGTGAGTTTGACGCCCATCGGCGGGTAGAACTGATCCAAGTATGATTAAATTCACGGCGTATTGTGAGTCTCGTAGCTCAATGGTAGAGCGTTGGCTGCGCAAAAGCCTTCCCTGTTGTGTGGGTTCGACCCCCACCGAGGCCGCGAATTTTTCACAATTGGGTCAACTGAATGCATATAATAACTGTTAGAATGGTCGAGCACGTGAGCCACCACCCTTGTCATCCAGACAGACAGACATCCTGAGGTCACGCCAGACAAAAGCGCGCGAAAAGAGATAAGCGCACAATCACGCCGCCGAATTATGCATGTCCTTGAGATGTCAACCAGCATCCTATGGCTGCCCAGATGGACCAATAAGAAGGAACAAAGCGGGCACGGACCGATTACCTTTAAATGCAAGAGCGGACACGGGAGGCGGGACTTGCTGGAGACGAGAACGCCGTGACGCAACCACAGACGACTTGCTGGCGAACACGGGACAAGTCGACTGACATGTGCAGAGTTGATGTGTACGCAGGAATTATTTAACGAAACTATTCTCGGTTATCCTGTCTGCCTAAAACGTACCTGGGGGAACATAACCGGTGTTGACACAGGGACACACTATGTTACAACAATAACAGAAAATGGAAAGTGGGGAGGGGAAGGGGAGCATAAGGGGGAGGGAGAGGATAGGTCAGCGGTCACTCACATCAACTTTTTCGGCCTCTCCCTCCTGATCCTCACCGGTCGTCTCAGTTTGCGATTGTTCAGGCGGCTGAAAGGGACATGAGTACGCATAAGAAGGTATGACAGCAGACATTTTTAAACTAGCCTCCGAATGCTCCCTTTAGCCGTCGGTAATTCCTGTTTTTTTAAGCTGATACTATAACACAGTGACACTTTGAAACGGTTAATGCAATTTGCTGATCGCATCCTTGGTGTGGTCGCTCACCCTCTCCACTCCGAAGTAGTGGCTGCAAAGTCTTTCTGTACTATGCGCTGAAACTTCGGTCATAAGTCTTGCCGTACATTGGCAAAACAGCATTCTGTACTCCCATTCCCAGCACGCTACTTCACGTGTGAAGAAACGGTAATTCAGCAGTTGAAAGTCGACCTGTCTCCATAACTGATGTGGCAATCGTGTAAACCTCTACACTTTGAGTATTCTGTGACTTTTTACCTTACTTTATCTCTTGCTCTCCGTGAATGGAGTCATTTTTTTGTTGAAAATTTTGAATATTTGCCTTCAAAATAAACTATGTTTCTCTCTCTCTCTCTCTTAACGGCACATAAAACTGACTGACAACGCCTGCTAGACCGCAATTTAAAACCTCAGTCCGTGTGACTCATTCTAAGGAAACGGCTAAAGTGATTGGACACTCCAAATAGACGGCAAAACTTAGTGGAAGCAAAGTATACTAGACGAGAACATTGCTGATGTTCTCTTATAAATCAGTGAAAGAAGGTAAGCTGGAAAATGCATGTAAACTCAGAAGGCATCAAAGACGCGGATTTTACTCATCGGTTCTTCTTTCTACAAAAGCAGTAGAAAAAACGGCTTGTCTTTATAAAAAAAATTGGGACGAGGCTAAAGGTAAAACTAAAGCAGTTGATCATAAAGGACGATAAAGTTAGCTGCTATAAGGAAAGCGATCAACACTAGAGTCCGCAGCTCTCTGTATTGACGTCGCCTTTAATAACAGATCCAAACCTCGGGTCAATAATTTTAAGTGTTTGAATTCAAATAAAATCTCTTTACTACGTTACCACGTGGAGCAATGTAGAAGGTTATGCAGTAGCAGATATGCGTACACCGATCTGTCAGAAGACCCACTCATCCGTCCATCCATCCGTCCACCACGAGGCGGCTAGGAGTTAGGCAGAAGGACATTACCAGCAAAGACATGGGACACTAGCAAGGCCTTTTCTGGCGCATTTGCCGTCATCGGCTAGTGATACCCAACTCCAGTGTTGCCGCTGAAATTGCTGCCACACTCGAGTTTTGAACTCGGGTCTCTCCGGTCAGAGGCGAACGTCCTAACCATTGAGCCACGAGCTCACAGTCTTGCCAGCAGTAGATCGGGAATATCCAGTAGCAGAAGGTTATGCTTATTCCATTTTTAAAGTTTCTGACTGCCACCTCAATCTATTCCCTAACTTGTTATGCATTTATAATGAAATGCAGCGACCGGGATCTGTCTGATCTTCAGTAACCATGCAAACGTTATCCTCAAAACCTGTATTCATAGTCTTTGGAGTGTATGTAGCCTGTTTGGGCTCAGACCAAGAATTAGTCAGGGCAACATTTGACTCCGAAGAGTAATCAGACCAATTAATTGGTTTCCAAAAGTTTTTTCTTACTTTCGCCGCCTTTCCTTTCCCACCCTTGGCGTCTTCTTTGGCTGGTTTGGTCACCTAAAGTCGGATGAAAGAAAAAATGGTAATTATAATTGGAACCACTTGTGTAAAACTCGCCTAGGGGCTTAGGGGGGCTCGGGA